GGGCCCGTCTCCCTGTCTCCCCACAGACGGCTCACTGGCTGGAGATCCTGCAGGCCCTGCTGCTCAGTCCCAACGTGGAGCTGCAGCACCGTGGCGCTGTGATCGTGCTGAACATGATGGCGGCAGACCGGGAGATTGCAGCCAAGCTCATGGAGAGTGAGATGCTGGAGATCCTGTCCGTACTCGCCAAGGAGGAGTGCGACAAGCCCCGTGTGGCCCAAGCTGCCAAGGAGTGCCTGGCGCAGGCCGTGGCATGTGGGCTGATCAAACCCAACGTGAACGGAGAGTGACTGGCCACCCTGGCTGGGCTCTCCTTCTGCTGTGCGCACTGCTCTAGGCTTGTAACACCCCCAGCTGTGGCTAGGGAAAGACACGCTGCCTTCGGAGGCTGGAGCCCCTGGGAGAGACGGGAGTGTGGGCTGAACTTGCCTGTTGTATCTTGTCTTAACCTATGAGTGTATGCTGGCAGGGCGGGGCCTGTCTGTGGGTGCTAGACCTGGGGTGCTCTGCAATGCTCTCCTCTGCATCCCCCCCTCTCTCGTCTAGCCGGCATCCACGTCCTGCTGCACCCTGTGCTTGTCTCTGCCTGCCTGAGCAACACGCTCAGCCGTGCGCTCCTAGTGCAGCTGGATGCGGTGCTGGGGGATAGACGGTGCCTAGTGCCCCTCCACGAGGGGCCTTTGCACCTGCACGTCTGTCTCCTCCTCCACGTGGTCTGACCCTCACAGCTCTGCTCGGGGCTGGCGGGGAGGGCAGGCTTCAGTCACAGCGGCTCTGTGGTGATGGGCTGGCTGCTGTTTAGGGGTGATGCGGTGCCTGGACTGGAGGGGCAGCACCCTCAGGCTGTGGGTGGCTGAATGCAGCAGCTGTGCAGTGATGTAGAGGTGGCTGTGACTGGTCTGAGTGGCTGGAGCAACCCGTTCTCTCCTGCATCGACCTGGAGCGAGGGTGCTGCTGAATGCCTTGTAAAGGAGCCACTACTGGCCCCCTTGCTGGGGCTGTCCCCTGTCTGTCTTCTGGGGCCTGCCCCTCTCACGGGGGGATGGACACCTCCCACTCACTGTATTTACTGCTGCTCCTGTACTGCAGGAGATGGTGATAAAGGAAAACCTGCCTCTTACCACAGCCGCTGAGCCCCGTGGATTGAATGTACCAAAGCGACGCACTGAGGGCGATGGGACGCTCACTGGGGCAGTTGCTGGGGGGGTGACAGCCGCGGGCTGGGGGTCGGTCAGTGGCACGGAGCCAGGCTGGATGAGAGCCG